GGCCCGCCCCCGCCCCTGTCTCGGCCCCGCCCCTAGCTCGGCCCCGCCCCCTCCTTCATCCGGGTACTTCCCTTGCCCGCCAAAACCCCCGCGCGCGCTCCCGGAGCCCCGCCCCTCAGCTCCCAGCCCGCCAATCACCGCGCGGAAGGACGAGCTCGCGCAGCGGTCACGCCCCCTCGCTGACCAATCACGGAGCGGGGAGGGGGCGGTCCCCGCGCATGCGCGCGCGGGGCGAGCGCGAGTCCGAGTGCGAGTCCCTGGCGACGGCGCGGCCCCGGCAGAGAGCGGGACGGGAACGCGGGGACACGGGACACGGGACACGGGGACACACGGACACAGCGGCCCCGTCCCGTCCCACCGCCATGGAGCACAGCCGGCAGGAGGAGGAGGAGGCAGAGGAGCGGACTGTGGTGAGCGCGGGCTGGGCGAGCACGGGCTGGGGGGAGCACGGGGTGGGGCGCGTGGGAACAGCCGCTCACCATCCGAGGCGGTTGTGTGTGTCCCTGGGTGTGTGTATATCCCTGTCCGTGTGTCCCTGGGTGTGTGTATATCCCTGTCCGTGTGTCCCTGTGTCCCTGTGTGTGTGTATATCCCTGTCCGTGTGTCCCTGTGTGTCCCTGTGTGTGTGTGTGTGTATATCCCTGTCCGTGTGTCCCACGCCATCACTCCGCTGCCCCTTATCCTGCTGGGACTGGCACAGCAGGCCCGGTGTCACCTCCTGTCCCTGCAGAGGCTCTCAGTGGTGTCACCTCCTGTCCCTGCAGAGGCTCTCAGTGGTGTCACCTCCTGTCCCCTGTGCTCCCCAGCAGGGCCCAGGCTGGCCAGGTCCCTCCATGCCCCGCTCCCCCCGGGAGAAAGGAGCCAGTGACTCTGGATTCCTCCTCTCCTGGGAAAAGGCCACGAGTTCTGTTATTGTGCTAATTATAGTTTAATAATTATGGATTAATCAGTTCCCTTCGGGCCTTGCTCTGCCCTGCAGAGAGGTGAGTGCAGCTGGCCCTGACCCTCCAGGGAAATCAGGGACAGAGGGGCTGGAGTCATGGAATCACAGCATGCTTTGTTTGGAAGGGACCTTCAGAATCATCCCGTGCCACCCTGCCCAGGCTGGCCTTGGGCACTGCCAGGGCTCCAGGGGCACCTGTGCCAGGGCCTGCCCGCCTGCCAGGGAACGATTTATTCCCAATATCTAACCTAAATCTCCCAGCTTTTAATTTAAAGCAGTTCCCCCTTGTCCTTTCAGTATCTGGCAGTGTAAAAAGTTGTTCTTTTTTAAAGTCACCTTTAAGTACTGGGAGGTGCTGGAGGTGTCCCTGGAGCTCTCCTTTCTGCAGGCTGGAGTGGCTCTGAGGAGGGCTCACACACAGCTCTGTGCACTCCTGGCCGTGCTGGAGACAGGGATGAGATCCTGGACGTGCAGGAATCGGTGTCCTGCTGGCCTGGGCTCTTGTGAGAGCGTTGGGCACATCCTGCCTGTGCTGGTGCAGTTCTGGGGATCGCTGTCCCTCTGTTCTCAGAGTGAAAAGCTCCAGGGTGGCAGCTCCAGAGCCAGGAAGGAGCCCAGAGGTGCGGCAGCCACGTGGAAACCAGGGGTAGAAACCTTAGCAACTTCTAGAAGTATTCCCTGGGAGGAAGGACAGGCTGGTAGAGGCTCAGTGTTACCAGGACAAATGATAAAACCTGGCACAAAGGATGGAAACAGCCTTGGGAATAACTGGGACATCTTCAGGGCAATTCTGACTGGTGGCTGTGGGAGCTCAGTGCAGTCCTAATGCAGTTCCCATAAACCTGCCCTGTGTGTTTTCAGGAAGGATAACTTGCACAGGACAGCAGGGCTGGATCTTGCACTGCTGCTTATTCTTCCACATATTTAAACAGAAAGGATTTTCCTTTGAGTGCTGATTTCCAGGTGAGTTCCCCAGGCACGCTGATCCCAAGCTGTGATGTAAAGCAGTGAATTTACCTCCTGTTTCTTGTGTCTCCTTCATTCTGCTCAGCACAGGTCACTTTATTTGGGTCCTGTTTGTGTCCTTTGCTGGTTCCTGGTGGCCGTTGCTTCCCTCTGTGTTTGTTTTGCCCCGGGGTGTGAGCGCTGCTCTGGCAACCCGAGCTCAGCTCTGGGAATGGCTCTGGGAATGGCTCTGGGAATATCCCTGGAGCTGAGCTCTGGGAATGGCTCTGGGAATGGCTCTGGGAATGGCTCTGGGAATGGCTCTGGAGCTGAGCTCTGGGAATGGCTCTGGGAATATCCCTGGAGCTGCTCCCTGGGGCTGTAGGTGCAGACTGAGCAGGCAGGAGCAGTTTCTGCTGCCCCAGGAGCCCTGCCCTGCCACCTCTGCCCTGTCCTGTTCCATTCTGAGCTGATTTCAGCTCATTCCACAGAATCCCCTCTGCTGGTGACAGAGGCTGGAGCTTCCCAGGGGAGCCACGGCTGGAGGCCAGCAGGGAACAGGAGCCCCCTGAGCTGCTGTGCCCTGCTCACCTGTCCTGGCCTCTGTGCTGGTGTCTCACAGAAACCAGCACAGATTTCTGCTGGATTTGGGTTCAAGTGGGCTTAAAAACCTTGTGCTCAACACTTCCCTCAAGGTTTTGCTGAGTGAGGAGAGGCTGGGAATGATGTCCCAGCCAAGGTAATTACCCAGGCTCTGGTAATTTAAAGGTGTTCGGGGCATCAGAGTGTAACAGTGGGGAGGAATTCCATAGCCCACAGAGCTTCTTACTGTTTATACCACTTTTAATATCAGCTTTATCAGCTTTGTCCATTTCCTCTTTCAGCTGATTTTTGATGCTGAGGATGATTTAAGCCCTGCCCTACCAGGTTTTTGATTCTGCATTTAACTAGTGTGACAGTTGAGGCCCAGAAGAATCAGGTTTATGGTTTTCATTCTTAAATGCTGCAGATTGATGGTTATGTTCCAGAGAGTCCATAATTCCTTGAAATTCTGCTTTTTTTTTTGTTCAAGTTAAGTAGGAATAGCAAGTTAAAGTACCCACTGACAGAGGTACCTTCTATTTCAGTGGTGGAAAAGATACAGGAATGAGCATTTTCTTAAAGCCTGGGGGCAGAGGGGTGCAAAGTGCAGCTCCTGTATGATTTAAACAAAGAATAAATGAAGAAGCAGGGGACAGTCTCTGCTTTTTCAGTGGTGCAAAGCTGCGAGTGTGAAGGAGTGGTAGCTCCTGATTCCAGACAATAACTCAGAAATGCTGTTAAATGTTGGCATTGGAGCTGGGATTTGGGCAGGTGAGGGGGCTTTGCACAGGAATGAAATTCTGATGGCAGAGCTGCCCTGGGTGACTCTAAATTTGATCTGCAGTAGCCAGGAGCAGGCTGATGTTGGAGAAAGTTCCTGGGTTTGGTGTTCAGCCGTGGCTGCTGCAGTGCTGTGAACTCTGAGTGCTTTTATTTGGAAATTGGGATTTATTTCCCACAAAAGCTTGAACCAGCTGATCTTTCATGGTCCCTTCTGAGTGAGCTGCTCCACGAAACCCAAAGTAATGAGTTGAGAATGAACAGAAAGAGGAATTCTGGACAGAAGTGGGATAACCCCAGGTGCTCTGAGATGTTCCTGTGTGCCTGGGGAGGAGTTTGGGGTGAGGATGGAGGCTCAGGACAGGAGCTGCTGGGATAAACTGGGCAGAGCCCAGTGCACAGAGCTGGGCAGCTGTGGCAGTCTGGGGGGGCTGGGATGGTCCCACAAAAGGAACCTCGATGCTCTTTGGAAGGTGGTGATGAGCAGGAGATGTGTCTGTGAGCCCTGCAGGACAGGAGATGTGTCTGTGGGTCCTGCAGGACAGGAGATGTGTCTGTGAGCCCTGCAGGACAGGAGATGTGTCTGTGAGCCCAGGAGGACAGGAGATGTGTCTGTGAGCCCTGCAGGACAGGAGATGTGTCTGTG